TCTAACTTATCAAGTGCACCTTTCAGCCTCAACAGCCGTTTATAACATATGTTTTTGCAAACGAATAAATCGTTACTCTCTGAATAATTGTTCACATCAACATTTACTGATATTTTTATCAGATTAGCGATATCAAGGGCACTTTTCCCGAAAACAAATAATCTATTATTATTTGTCTTGTTTTCTGAGCAAAGGAAACACTTTTCGCCAACGTCGGTCACTTTCTTTGGAGTCTCGTTCATGTTGAATAACTAGTCGATTATTTCAAGCGTGCGTGTGATACAATTTAATTTTAACAGTAGTAAACATCGAGATATATATAGCAATGAACAATTAGTCACTACTGAATTTGGCGGGAAACCTACGTCATGCCGTTTCCTGATTGGTCAAGTTTAAACAATCGGAATGGAATGTGTTGCTGCAGTAAGCAGCCTGTACGTGGGGAGAAAACCTCGGACCCGCGAACAGGCTGCGTAGGAGACTATTCTGACAATGGCTTTTGAGAAATCTGGAGATGGAACAGGAATACGAGGTGTGCAGCTCCTGAAACAAAGGTTTTCTAACTTCCGAACAGAGCAAGGAAGAATGCATGGTTTAAGTTTTAAACCTCGTCCAGATGATGTGTTCGTCGTGACTTCACCTAAATGCGGCACAACATGGATGCAACAGATTCTACATCAGTTACGTAGTGGTGGCGATATGTCATTTGATGAGATCGACGATGTGGTACCTTTTATCGAGATGGCTTATGATATCGAAATAAACCTCGACGCTGAACAGCACTATCAACCACGGTAAGTTTCACTGATTTGAGAAGTAGCGAACTGGATAGTGCATCGGCTGATCTAGTGATGTACTAACACAAATACATTTTAGAAGAGGTCCAGTCCTGTTTATTTGTGGCCCACAGCGGCGTAGGAAGCATCGAACTGGAATTGGGGGAAAGGGGGGGGGGTCACTGGTGTAAGGCGAAATTTCTCTGATTATTGTAGAACTGCCCATGCACAGACGATGCGCATTAATGACTTTGGCTCATAAATTTCGGAACTCAACAGACAACATGTGTAGTGAGCGAGCCTATGAAGCGAGCGAGCAAGTCAGAAGTTCTAATTCGTACTGGGCTCTGAAACTAAGATTTTACTTCCGTTTCTCGGACCAGAATGCACTGCTGTTAACCGACCAGAACACATTGCTGTTAACCGACCAGAATACTTTGCATGCATGATGCTATGAATGCGGAGAATCTCACTAGTTTAAATAAGCCGGTTAAGATGCAGTTGGTTTTCAGAAAAGTATTGTTTAATTTCTGATGATTTGGTTTGATTTGGTGTTATACTGTGTGAGTTTGAAAATGGCCCGGTATGATTTGATGAGGATAGGTTATCCTCACTGGTGTTTAATCTGTTGCTGTTTGATCACAACAGTAATATTGCCATATGAGGTGACTTAGATGCGGATACTAATTATTATTCTCATGTATCCCGAAGCTGCGATTATTACACTAAACATAAATTAAGTGATTTATTGTCTACCAAGGCAGCGATGCCAAACAACAACTGTCTTTCGATTCTCCATTTAAATATTGGAAGCTTAACTTGGAATTTTGACAATTTATTAAACTCTCTTGCAATTATTATTATCTTTTATTGGCGTTTCGGAAACTTGGCTTCGCCAAGAAGAGTACTATGCTTGTCTTGACGGGTTTAACTTTGTACATAATTATAGGCCCAATAAAATAGACCTGTGGAGGCGTTGATCTTTATTTAGCAAATGAGTTTCAATTTCATTTACGTCATGACCTTGCTTTTGACGATACAGCATGTCACTGCTGAAAGTATGTTCGTTGAAATTCATAAACCAAACGGGAAAAATATTGTTGTTGGAGTTATATATAGACCTCCTAATGAAAGTGTTGATGAGTTTATTAACAATACAGACAAACTAATTTCTATTATTTCTAAAGAAAATAAAATGTGCTACATAATGGGTGACTTTAATTTGTATTTATTAAATTATCATAGCCACCAACGCACTGGTGAATTTCTCGATATTATGTAGCTACTCCAATATGTTTTTCCCGTTAGTAACACGGCCTACTCGCATTGCATCTAATTCTGCTACTCTTATTGATAACATTTTCACAAACAATCTAGTCAGGCGAATGTGCCGGTATTCGGTGTTGTGACTTTGTGAGCATATACTTTTAATGCACATAAGGACGGACCATTAGAAAAGTGATGGGGGGTGGCGGCAGAAAAAAATCCATGCAAACAAAAAAGGTTTGAAAAACAAATACATGCAAACAGACTTGTTTAAAAACAGAACAACAATAGAACTTTAATTTTAAATGTACATCAGACAAAATTGAACTAAATCTTTGGAATATTACGGAATATAAATATATAATATATTAATATGCAATCTCTTTCAATATTAACAGTAACTCTTATATAGTTTTAATATGTACTATCAAAATATTTTCTATTGTCTTTAATAATCCTCATTCACACTGCCACTGATCTACAACCACCAAACTACCACTTTCCCCTTGATTTATAATCGCAGTGCCACTATCTTCTTGATCTACAACCAAACCACCACTTTTCCTTTCATCTACAATCAAACTGACACTATCTTCTTAATCAACAACCAAACTACCACTTTTCCCTTCATCTACAATCAAACTGACACTATCTTCTTGATCTACAATCAAACTACCACTATCCCCTTCATCTATCAAACTGACACTATCTTCCTGATCTATAATCTCAATGGCAATATCTTCTTCTACATTTTCTTTTCCTCTACTTAATCTTGCTCTTTTCTTTTCTCATGTCTTGTTTCTTCTTCCTTTTGCTCATTTGTTCTGCCATACTGCTTCCATACTTCTCCTTAGATTGTTTCACTAAAGCCTCATAATTGCAAGCAATTTCTGTGATATATGCTACTGCTTCTTTCACTTTCGCATTGTGTCTATGTCAATAACGATTTCTTATATTAAAATGCTATTTATAAGTAATGATATCTGGTTTAGCCTAAAATATTAAAGATATTATTTTGCAGTGTGTATTAAAGGGATATTTTTTTGTCAAGAGAACAGTTTCGTTAACATTTGTATAGTTGTATTGGAAAAAAAAATTGCATGCGAGAAGACATATTTAAAAAAAACATGCATGCTCAGCTGACAACCTGGAAAAAAACATAAATAATGTAGCCCCCCCCCCCCCATCACTTTTCTAATGGTCCGCAGACTTAGTTACAATTCCATGACCCGGCCCCAGACCCACTCACTGCGCAGCGGAATTATTAGCAAGGTTGCTGTACAATACACTGAGTCAGAATTGAAACCGTCAAATGATCATCACAAACATTGAACTTTCTCGGTAAAAACATTGAACTTTTTACTTTGTCATGAGAGTAGACAATGTTTTATCTGCAATCGTTCACTCTTAGTTGCAACCGACGGTAAAAAAACAATTTCAATGTATACAAAGGTTCACACATTCTTCAAAAGCTTTTACATATAGTCTTTATATTCGATACTGCACAACCTGCGAGGCTGCGATATTCACCAATGATCCAAGAAGACTACCTGCTCGTATTGCGAAAAATTGCCACTAGTTCTGAACGCCATGAAGTCGCCAAGTGCTAACTTTTGAAAGATTTTAAAACGTCTGTAGACAAGCTAGGATTTTATCAAAACCGTACGAGTACTCTTAAGTATGCTCAGCAACTAATGCCGAGGAAAGTAGAATTTTCATATTTTTTAAACTACAATATCGACGACATTTTTTACTGTGAACCATTGGAGGAGAAAAGCGTAGGTCCTACTAGGTCGCGTTTGTGACGTTGAAAACGACAGGCGCTTGCATTTTAATACTCCTGTACCTACGGTAGCCGGAGTAATGAGCAGTCCCTTACCGTTGATAAACAGGATTCAACTCGCTTTTGTTTCAAGTATTTATTTTATACAAATCAGAATCCCACGACTCCACGAGGCTTTTTGACAACTGCGCATGCAAATTCTTTCACTTTTTGCCTACAGCTACGAACAGGAATTTGTGTGTGTGTATCTATTTTGTGCGTGTGTATTCAATTTGTGCGTGACTGTTTGTTACAATTTGCGTTCTTGTATTTCAACTTGCGTTCGTGTATTTCAATTTGTGCGTTTGTTTGCACCTAGCTCTGGGCCACCGTAGTTTTTCTTGCTACAACCATTCTGATAGGAGAAAAATCATCCACAAGTTGTTTGATTCCCCGTCATTGGATGAAAAGTTACGTGATTCAAAAAGACTTGTATATAAAATTTTTATTATATCCTTGTCTGCATGGATTTCTTTGCGTGTGGGCGTCCCCTGGAAAGATTTTAGATCTTTAGAAAAAAACCTAAAGTCCCTGAAATGGCATTTCCCACAGGGGCGGGTGGTGGTGAAATTATTAAATTAATTTGGTTAAAGTCTTCTCGAAACACAAAAGTTTAGTAATAAACCGACGGAAATTGAGGGAAAATTGGTCACAGAAGCCCAGAGCCGGAAGCCCAGTGCCGGAAGCCTGGATAGAGCAAAGTATTGGCACAGAAGGCAGAGACACAAAATAGGATTGGCATTGGTGTCGTCGGGGCTTCTCTGTTAAGTTTTGTGGTAGCTTTTCTGACAATGGCTTTTGAGAAATCTGGAGATGGAATGCGAGGTGTGCAGCTCCTGAAACAAAGGTTTTCTAACTTCCGAACAGAGCAAGGAAGAATGCATGGTTTAAGTTTTAAACCTCGACCAGATGATGTGTTCGTCGTGACTTCATCTAAATGCGGCACAACATATATGCAACAGATTCTACATCAGTTACGTAGTGGTGGCGATATGTCATTTGATGAGATCGACGATGTGGTACCTTTTATCGAGATGGCTTATGATACCGAAATAAACCTCGACGCTGAACAGCACTATCAACCACGGTAAGCTTCACTGATTTGAGAAGTAGCGAACTGGATAGTGCATCGGCTGATCTAGTGATGTGCTAACACAATTACATTTTAGAAGAGATCCTGTTTATTTGCGGCCCACAGCGGCGTAGGAAGCATCGAACTGGGATTAAAAGGGGTCACTGGCAGTGGCGTAACGGAGGAAGAGGGGGCCCTTAGGCATATTCTGTGTGGGGGCCCCTGTTGTCATTGTTTGACTGAGATATTATATTTATATTGAATATTTATAGAATGTTCTGGAAAATTCCGTGTCTATAACAATAACAATAACAATAACAGTCTCCAACATATGTAACAACTTTTATGAATAACTTTTGTTTAATTTGAGATGGCATAAAAAAATCAGCTACCGTCGCCAATGGAGGCTTTATTGTGTAGCACTATTAATTTCGCATTTTCCCATTAATTCTTCACCTGCATTTTTTACGTTTTCCAATTTTCTGGGCGATAGACTGTGGCTGATGGGGGCCCCTAACTGTTGGTGTTATCACCACGCTAAACCTCATATTTAATTATTAACTTTAATTATTAGTTATAAGAAAAATAGGCCACACCTATAGGCGTTAGCTAGCTGAGAACTGTGATTGACATTTTGTTGTTTATGAATTGGACGAACGCGAACGAACTAGTATAGAATACAGAAATACAGAAGGATATATATATATATATATATATTAACTGCTGCAAAGTCATGTAAGTACAAGTATTTAAAATCATGTGATATCAGCTTGGTGTACTCTGAGATAGGAATAATTTCACATATATATTTTAGTGAATCACCCCGAATCGCCTCGAATCGAACATATATTATCAACAACATTGCGACACTGGGGTGATATCTAAGCTTGTGGCGTGTGATTATTAGTTGAAATTTATGAAAGAATATTAAAAAAATAAATATCTGAAAGAATACTGAAAGAACACTACATCATTCAATGACTTGGCCGATCTTTGACCGAATGGATTGAATTGTTTTGGTATAAATACACGAACGCCTGTTTAAAATATAAACAAGCTTGAAACTGATATACTGAACTCTATTTGAACCGAGCAATTTAGCCTTTTGAATTCGAAACAAAGGTATGGATGAATCTAGTAAAGAAAACGAAAAAAATTTAATGTTGTTTCATGATAAAACTGATGAAAACCGACCCGAAGAGAACGAACAAAATGTCTCTGAAACAAATCTCGCGAGTAAACAACACGGAAGTATTAGTGAAATTGACAAGGTCACGGATAAAACTGTACCTAGTAATACTGTCGATAGCGAAACCCCCGAAAACACTGAACCTGGAACTGAATTAGGTCCTGTACGACGTAGTACAAGACAGAAAACACAATTTACTGACAGAGAATCGGTTGAAAACGAAGAAATATACCGCCAACAACGTACCCTTGGCGGTCATCAAGGGCGTATTACTGCACTCGTCAATCAATTAAGTACTTGTCTCACAAAGGGGCGTGGACCGCACGAAATCGTTGACATTTTAGAATCTCTTGAAAAGGCATGGCAAGGCTATAATAACGCGTATGGAAAATATTTATCGAAAAATCTAGCAGAATAAGAGTTCGCGCGAATTGGGGAAGTCTTTTCATATAATAGTAAAAATCACGCTTCTTGTGTTTTCGAAGCCCAGGAATATCTACGTTATTGTCAATCAATGGCGCTTCAACAACAAGCAACGGCGCAAAGACAGAGCATTGGTTCAAAGTCAATTTCGTCCAAAGTTTCGAAATCGTCTAAGAGTTCGAAAAAAGAAAAAGCCAAAATGGACGCAGAATTGAAAAGATTGGCAGCTACCCAAGCTGAGGAAGCAGCGATATTTGAAGCTGAGATGGAAAAGAAAAAGATAGAGATAGAATTTCAAACGGGCGAAAAAGTAAGAAAACTGAAAGCAGAGGCTGCCCTCGCAGAACGAAAAGCCGAACTGATGCAAGAATATGACAGCGATGACATGTCCAGCTCGAATGATGAAAATGGATCGGACAGATTGCCACCCCCTCCAATTACACAATTAATAAAAGGAGAACAGACTGAATTATGGGTAAAGTCTTGCTCAAGCCAAACAGCTGATAAACAAGCCTTGGACAATCTTGAATCGCCTGAGCGTGTCAACAATCAACCCAAGAAATATTTTGAAAACACGTGTAATAGAAATAAAGTGGAAACAAATACAGCTGGTCAAAAGGGACATGTCACATTTAATGAGCGTGGGAAAAATAGATCGAGCGCAAGAATCATACCGGAAATTAGTAAAAACCAGATTTCGGATGCTCAAGCAGTGATGTTAAAGGTGAATATGTTACAAGCAATGCAACCTGTGAAATTTGATGGTAACCCGTCTGACTTTCCCACATTTAGAAAAAGATTGATTGACAATCTTGAAGACGGAGTTCTTAATGACAGTCAAAAAATCGAATTTCTACCTAAATTTGTATCTGGAGATGCGTATGAAACTGTGAAAAGAGTGGCTGGCTGTTCTTACCCGGATATTAGGGACCGGTCATTATTTAAGGCGGGGGGTGGCACCGAAGAGAAAAGGGTTGGGTAAACTAAATTTTGAGTGAGTAAAAGGTTGGGCAAATAAAAAACAAAACAATTCAAGGGTTGGGTAATAAAAAATTATTGTCATTTCCAAAGCATAACTCGCTTAAATATTGGAGACTGAAAAGCAATGTTAACAGTCATATGTCAATACAATATGTGAATCAATCAGAGTCACTTTCTTGATCATTTTCCGATTTGTTGGGAGACAAATGGTGTCTCCAAAGAAAGTACTGTTCATGTGCAGACAACATGAAACTTCAGACTGCAGAAAATTGCACAATCCGTTATCAAACTCGTGTCACAGAAGTGGTAAAGGACATGTGTAACAACTGAATGGTATCCTTTTGTAAAGGTTTTGGCCAGGGTTGGGTATTTATTTTTTAATTGATATCTGAGGTTGGGTAATCAAATTTTTGACTTTTTAATGGTTGGGTCAGCAAAATTTTTGCCAGGAAAACCATTTCTCTTCGGTGCCACCCCCCACCATAAATAATGACCTGTCCCTTATAGTGATTTTGCAACATAGATATGGTCAGCCTGCCACAGTTGCTGCCTCTTGTATTGAGTCCCTGACATCTGGTCCAAAGTTGACAAACGGTGACTACAAAGGATTGCGTAACTTTGCCGAACAACTTACGTCATCAGTGAAAAGGCTTGAAGACGAATACGAACAAGAAGCGAGCACGACATCGAATTTAAATTTG